CCTGGAAATGGGGGCGTCCATGCTGATTAAGAGTGATGACTGCTGAGCATTTTCAATTGTCAAACAACACACAATTGTATATGTTATTGTTATATAAAATTTTATCATATCTATTATTTATTATATATTATTTACAATTATATAAATGTGATAAAATTAATATTTACCATAACTGACAAATCTGACACATGGAACCTGGATCAAAACCTTACACTTTCAGACACCTTCTCCCCTCTTGACACAAGAACTGTGACTCGTCAACTTTATCTGGACTGTAAACGTTTAACAAGGAACTGAAGGAAATCCCATCCTGATTACTGATCAGGGATCCGTGCTATTGCTGATCAGTGATAGCACTGAGAGTGTGCTTAGTATATCCTATCCAAAAGGGCCAAGCACAGCTGCCTCCACCTAGGAGCATCCTGCACAAGCACACACACCCCAACCAGAGTACAAGCTGGGCCGTACTTTTGCAAACTTCCACCCTCACCCAAACACGAGGCTGCTACAGTACTCCTCTTCTTCCTGTGCACCCCCCATTTGGAGTTCCCTTCCTTCTCGGCTGCCCCCACCCCTGAATGTGTTAGAAGAGGTCGTCCTTGTTCCTGTGAAAGGACGAGAGAGCTCTCTTCAAACAGGCAGTGGCTTTCTTGGACCAGAAACTGGAGCCAAGCTGCTAGGAGACCAGAGACAGAAAGGTTTTTATTTTGGATCTGCAGTTCCCACAATGCCACAGGCAGCCGAGCCAATGGGATTCTGGAAGCAGCAGTCCAAAAAAAAAACCAAAAAAACACAACATGTTTCTCATTTCTTCACGGGACCTGGTGCAGGATGCTGGACCCAGGTGACTTTCTGTACCTGGAGGGCCTCACTCTTTTCCTGCTCCAGACACACGCCACGCTCCTCCAAGGTCTTCACTTGCCCCGATGCCACCCTGTCCAGCTGCTGCCTTTGGGCCCTGTCAGTCTCCAGCTGGTTCTCTGTCAGAAAAGAAGAACAGAAGGTGCAGGCCCCAGTCTCCAGCTGGTTCTCTGTCAGAAAAGAAGAACAGAAGGTGTTCAGCAGGCCCCAGAGGCAGGCAGACATTCATCTCTTTCCTGGGCAACTCCCCAGATGCCCAAGTTGGCATTGGCACTGGCTGGGACTCCCACCTCCAGATGCAAATGCTCTGTCCTCTAACCCAGTGGTAGCCAAACTTGGGTAACCCCAGATGTTCTTGTACTTCAATTCCCAGAAGCCTTTGCCACCAGCTGTGCTGGCCTGGGTTTCTGGGAGTTCTAGTCCAATAATACCTGGCTTGCCCAAGGTTGGGAGCCACTGCTCTAGCCCCAGACATGAGGAATCAGCCACTCTTACTCAGAGGGGAGAAAAAGCACATTTTGCACATGGTCAGGTCAGTTTATTAGCAGCGCCAAGACAAAGGCACCTGGTTCTCTGTCACATTTTAAGCTGGTTTAGGATGAGACGCATGGCTTGAACACCTGCTCATACAGTGGTGCCTTGCTTAGCGACGTTAATCCGTGCAGCAAAAATAGCTGCTAAGCGATTTCGTCGCTAAGCGATATTAAAAAGCCCATAGAAACGCATTAGAACCTGTTTAATGTATTCCTATGGGCTAAAAACTGACCTTAAAGCAAAGATCCTCCATACGGTGGCCATTTTCGCTGCCTCTTAAGCGAGGAATCTGTGCGAAAACGCAGCGGGCGGCCATTTTGTTTACCCGGCGGCCATTTTGGAACCACCAATCAGCTGTTAAAAAATCATCGCTTTGCGATGATCGGTAAGCGAAACAAGGAACCAATCATCGCAAAGCAAAAAAAAACCCCACAGGAAACATTGCAAAGCGATCGCTTTTGTGATCGCAAAAAGTTCATCGCTATGCGGTTTTGTCACTAAACAGAGCGGACGTTAAGTGAGCCACCACTGTACTTGCTTCCCACACCCTTTCGGAAGGCCTCTTACACTAAGAATAGAGAAAGAAGTCCCCACAAATCTACAGGGACCCTGATACTTTGAGTCCCTCTTTTCCATTTTTCTTTTTTAAAGGGGCTTCACCACTGGGGGCACTCACCACCTGGCTTCACTCTTTATTGAGTTATTTTATGGATTATATGGACAGCTGGCTTTTCTTTCAATTAGGACAAGAGGCATCACATGTGGCTGCCCTCCCTCTCCGACTGTCCCCTCACAACTGGCCCCTGCAATGAAGGCGAAGCCAAAGAGGTTCAGAGAACATCCCAGGAAGGTCATCCAGTGAGTTTCGCCTCCCCGTGGACAGAATTTCAGTTGAACATTCCTAACATTAGAGGAAGAAGAAGCTGGAACGTTTGGGAGTTTTTGCAACCTTGCATGCTGCCTTTAGTAGGTTTGGCTGGGAGGAACCTTTCTGGGCTGGGGTGTCTGTCAATCTATCCAGCACTAGCCAATTGTTCCCTTCTGTCTCTGAAATCAAAGAGAGCCCCACCTCTCAGCTCAGTGTCTCTTTCCCTCTTTTTTGTCTGTTGGAAACAGATAGCGAGTCTGTTGAAGTCTGTTTTCTGAAAGCAGTCATGTTTGTCAGTTTGCTGTTTGATGTGTTCAATTGTAAGTAATGAAAGGATAGTTTACTTACCAGAACTATGTTTCTTTGAATGGATGTCTGAATTCACACTAATGGGTAACTTTCTGCGCAAACACGAATCTTTGGAACCTTATAGAGCTAAAAATCCAGAGATCAGTAGAGGGCCCACCTTCCCACATTGCCTGTTTACACTTCTAATGGTCCTTCCTCAGCTCCCCAACTGCCACTAAGAAGCAGTGTGACAAGAGGGAATGAGGGAAGGATGTGTGAATTCACAAAGATCTACTCAAAGAACCATAGTTATAGTAAGCAACCTATCTTTCTTCGTTATGATCTCTGTGAATGCATACTAATGGGTGAGTAGAAGATAAAAGGAACAACATGTAAATTTGGCCTTGGAGTTCAAAATGAAGCAGCGCAAAGGCTCATAGAGTTTTGTCAAGAGAACAAGCTGGTCGTCACAAACACTCTTTTCCAACAACACAAAAGGCGAATCTACGTATAGACATCACCAGACGGGCAATACCGAAATCAGATTGATTATGTTCTCTGCAGCCAAAGATGGAGAAGTTCTACACAGTCAGGAAAAACAAGACCTGGAGCTGATTGTGGCTCTCATCATCACCTTCTTATAGCAAAATTCAAGCTTAAACTGAAAAGAGTAGGAAAAAACCCCTGGGTAATCAGGTATAATCTAAACCAAATCCCTTAGGAATACAGAGTGGAAGTGAAGAAAAGATTTAAGGAACTAGACTTGGTAGACAGAGTGCCTGAAGAACTTTGGATAGAGGCTCATAACATTGTACAGGAGGCAGCAACAAAAACCATCCCAAAAATAAAAAGGAAATGCAAGAAAGCAAAGTGGCTCTCCAACGAAGCCTTACAAAATGCAGAGAAGAGAAGGGAAACAAAATGCAAGGGAGATAGGGAAATTTACAGAAATACACAGTGGAAGTGAAGAACAGATTTAAGGAACTAGATTTAGTGGAGAGAGTGCCTGAAGAACTACGGATGGAGGCTCGTAACATTATACAGGAGGCAGCAATAAAAACCACTCCAAAGAAAAGGAAATGCAAGAAAGCAAAGTGGCTGTCCAACAAGGCCTTACAAAATGCAGAGAAGAGAAGGGAAACAAAATGCAAGAGAGATAGGGAAAGTTACAGAAAATAGAATGCAGATTTCCAAAGAATAGCAAGGAGAGACAAGAGGGCCTTCTTAAATGAACACTGGAAAGGTAGAGAGGAAAATAATAGAAAGGGAAAAACCAGAGATCTGTTCAAGAAAGTTGGAGATACGATGATATCAGGAGAGTCCTTGGAGTCAAAGGACTAGCCCTGTTCGTGCTGGGCAGGCACCAAGGAATGGCGAGGTGGGGAAGCCACCGGGAGAACAGCCAGGACCAAATGGTTGGGTCCAGGCAGACAGATGGTGGAGGCAGGGCATGGAAGCTGGCCCGGAACCAAAGTCCGGGCTCAAGGAGGACTCTCAGGGCCATGTAGTGGTGGAGGTGGCATCTAATGATCATGGTGTAAGCCCAGGATGCTAAGGTTCCAGGGCCAAAGACATTCTGGAATTGAGGTGATAACACTTGGAGAAAGGTCTCAAAGGGACCAATGTCAAAGCTACAGGCAACATAGAAGCCGGCTCAAGCTGGGGGGCGGGACACAGGCTCATGGAGGTAGATGTTGGCTTGCGTCACTGCCCACAAGAAGCATCCAACAAGGCAGGACAGTCTTGATAGTAATCGCTCCAGGAGATACTCTGGATGGCAACCAACTGTGAAGCAGAGGCGCAAGCACCAGTTGGGAGAGGCCCAAGGCATTCCGAGGTAGTGATGGGGGTAATAGGCGGATGCTCCCGGTTCGAGCCTCTCCTGGTCTCAATAGGTTTCTGAAGGGCAGTAAGCTTGATGGCGATGAGCAGGATAGTCCTCAGGTCTTGGGAGCCCAGAAGGAAGGTGAGGCCTCTAGGTAAGGTCTTGCCGGACAAGTTGATGAAGGACCGTGTGTTGGGGAGAAGCTGATGGAGTGGCAGAAGTAACAGGAGAGGAGGGTTGCCCCTAACCCAGTGGGGGATTGGCTGAAGACAGGGGATGGGGGTGGCCCCGGAGTTTGAGGTTGTTCTCATCAGATGACAGGGAAGGAGTCTTGGTGATGCCTTGCGGGGGGGAACAGTAATCTGTGGGTTTTTGTAGTGGGGGGGCCAAGGTCTTCGAGGTCAATCCTTCAATCTTGAAGATTTTGAGCTGGAGGGCTTGGAGGGTGATGAAGAGGGGTTGGAGCCAGTAGCGCATTGCAGGATGGATCCCTATGAGCCAGGACCCGAAGGGAGGCTTTCCCAGAGGTACACTTTTAGGTGGTCCAGCTGGTGTTTAAGAGTGGCTTTGGGAAATCCACGGCAAAGCTGGGAGGAGGACTGGGGCTCGTGTCACTCCCCAAGACCAAAAAAAAGGCGAAGAGAGTGCTCATCTGTCAAGGGGAGTTTATTGCTACAATGGTGGCACTTTTGGAAGGGGCCCCTCAAGGCCTTGGAGGGCAGAGGGGGGGGAGGGATCCCACAAGGGCAGAGAAAGGAAGAACAAATTGGACAAGGGCTTTAAGAATAGTCCAATCTTTGTTTTCGCAAGGGAGGAAAAAAGAACTCACTGAGGTGAAAATCACGTCCAAATGACAAGGTAAGATAGATCAGCAAAAAAGAAGCAGCTAAGGGTGGCAGCCTCAGAAAGTTCCTAGATTCCTAGGCGGTGGCCAAAAGGAACTGAGGGAGGAGGACCATTAGAGACATGAACAGGAGATGTGGGAGGGCAGGGCCTCTAACGATCTTATGATTTTTAGCTCTAGAAGGTTCCAAGGATACACACAAGCACAGAAAGTTACCCATTAGTGTGAATTCATGGAAACCATCATGGTTTCCATGGAAACAATGATTTTTTTTTCCTGTTAAGTAAGTTGTTGAGACTATAAGTGCCAGTTGATGAGACAAAGGGGTGGACTACTCCGGGGAACTTGAAGCTATTCTGCTCTCTGAATCCCTACACTTCTGCTGTACAGCTACAGGAATTTAACTGAACATTCAGAACTGTGCAACAGGAACTACTAAATGTTCTGTCTCCTATCAACAGCTGAAAGACGGGGAAATTTTCTTTCTTTCTTTGGACTACAATTCCATTTTATGGGATCACAATAGTTCTTCACCACAGTTCCTAGTTCCAAAGGGGTCCCTTACATAGCTCTTTCTGACACATACTGGGCCACCGTTACCTGCTAGCTGCTGCTGCAAGGCTGCCCTTTCATTCTGGAGGCTTCTGATCTCCAGGTCCTTGGCTGGAGCCTTCAAATGTGCCTTTGCCAGAGCATCTGTACCAAGGTGCCATAAATAACCCAGAAAACAGAAGAAGAAAGCTGGAAAACTGACTACATGGTTTGGCAGATGGTTTACAAAAATAACTTGTTTTTCTAAGTGAGTTTTTGCCAGTGTTTTAGTTTCATGAACTTAACTGGAATGTCAAAAGTTATTTTTAAACAAGTTATTTCTTTATTTATTTAAAATAGTTTTACTGTGCCTTTCTCATGAAAAAGACCCAAGACAGGTTACATCATATAAAGTATATAAATATTTAAAAAATGAATTCCTACAAGTATTATATTAAAAATGGCAAATAAAATCAATAGTACAAAAATTTAAAAACAACAGAGCAGAATTATAAGAGTTGAAAAAAGTTTCATGTTTTTTGCTTATTGTTTTGACTTCTATATTGCCCGACAGTACCTCTGCATGGTTTGCAATATAGTTATGCAAAGAACACTTTGCATCAAATCTGCATCAACAATTTAACAAGACATTTAACAAGCAAACCCAAGCAGGAAACTTTTCCACATTAAATGCCAGCTTTGGTCACATTGCATTTCAAAATGCTTCATGCTTGCAGCTTCCTAATTTAATTAATCCTCGTATTACTCTTGCAATGTACAAGAGTCTGGAAGCTAATTCTGTTCTGTAAGTTCCTGCACTTCTGCTGCAAAGCTAGAGATTTTTAACAAAAATTTCAAAGCTCTGCAACAAAAAAAGTGAAAATAGGAGTAAGGACGGTAAGAACTGGAAATCACATTCGAAGAAGAGAAGCATTCTAAAGGGAGCAAAAAGCACTGAAAACAGGGTGCAGAATAACCCTGCAGGACACACACACTGCCCACTGGCCACATGTGATAACCTACACTGACATAATGGGATTTCCTTCTATAGCCAGGCATTCTATACCTATGCAGTATCCTTTTCTTTGCTGTAATTTCATCTGACCCCAGACTAAGCTGTGGCAGAAGCAAGGGTTCAAACTGAGCGGCAGGCTAGCCAAGGGTCCAGGAGTCCCACTTTCTCCTCCAAGGCAAAATCTGCAAGGCTTCGAGGCAGCCGGTGCAGCTACAGGAAGGACATACCTTGCAGCTTCTGGCTCAACTCCATCTTCTCCCGTTCCAGATGGCAGATCTTCTTCTCCAGCTTCCCTGTGCTAGAGGTGCTGGAGGGAGAGGCTGCAGGCTGCTTCTCCAACAGGAGGCTTGTAAGAAAAGCAAGAGGCAATGAAGGTCAGGGCCCTCAGCCCCTTGGCAAACAAAAAGGCCCTGCCAGGCTACGCAAACTGGGTGGGCCTCGGGATGAAGTGAACCATGAACAACTGAGATACGATTCTTCATATTGGTCATGTGATACAATGTGGTGTCACGGTCAGAGTGTCAGACAAGTCCTAGCGTGATCCCATAAGGGCCAGAACTTGGCTTTCTATGGAGGGATCATGCGGCTGCTTTTTCTATTTTCTCAAAATTATACATCACTGGTAAATTGTTCCATTGCCAAGCAAGGAGCTTACAAACATAGATACATACATACATACATACATACATACATACATACATACATACATACATACATACATACATACATACATACATACATACATACATACATACATACATACATACATACATACATACAATTGTTGGAGGGCTCTGTAGGAAAGCTTTAGATAACTTTAATAATGCTGCTGATGCCGCTGCTGATAAACTTGGGGAAGTCAGCCTCAACAGAGGAATATTTCAAGGAAACTCTTTATCACCACAACTGTTTAACATCTCTAATCCTCATGGCAATAAATTAAATAAAACTGGATTGAGCTATCACATTTCAGAACAAGCAGGAAAAATCAATCATCTGCTATACATGGATGACCTAAAACTATATGCAAAAAGTTCTACTGAGATAGAATCACTGTTAAACACAGTGCAAATATTTAGTGAAGATACAGTGGTGCCTCGCTTAACGAGTGCACCATTTAACGACGAATTCGCATAGCAATCTATTTTTTTAGATCGCTAATGTGATTGCATACCGATGGTCTCTATGCCCAAAAATCGCTTTGCGACGATAGGTAAGCGTTTCGCTTACCGATCTTTGCATTGCGATGTCAGGGAATCAGCTGTTTGGCGGTTCCAAAATGGCCACAGGAAGCCCCAAAATGGCCGCACGCAGCGTTTTCGCGCCCTGCCCTCGCTTACCGAGGGCACGAAAATGGTGGCCAGATGGGGAAACATCGCTTAACGGTGAGTTTAGAAGCCATTGGAACACATTAAACTAAGTTTAATGCGTTCCTATGGCATTTTCCGATCTGTATGGTGATGTTTCCCCATAGCAATCGTTAATCCGGAACGGATTAACCTTGCTATGCAGGGCACCACTGTATCTAAATGAAATTTGGAATTGACAAATGTGCAGCTCTGTCTATCCAATGTAGCAAGATCCAAAAACTCGATGGAATAGAGTTTAAAAAATGGCAATATTATAAAATCAATATCAAGTGAGGAAAATTATAAATACAGTGGTGCACCGCTAGATGCTTACCCTGCATGACGTGGAAATCGCTTAACAATGACGTTTTTGCGATCACTATTGCAATCCCAAAACGATGGTTCTAATGGGGTTTTTTCGCTTCGCGTTGATCAGGACCCTGCTTCGCGAACCATTTGTTCACTATACGATTATTTTTCTGGTTCCTCTGCAAAATGGCTTCCCTCCCAGCTTCACATTACAGCGATTTTGAGCAGCTGATCGTCAGTTCTCTATAGGCAATCTTCGCTGGACTATGAGGTATTTCTCCCATTGGAACACATTGACCGTTTCAATTCATTGACCGTTTCAATGCATTCCAAAGTTTTTTTTTTCGCTTGATGACAATATCGCTTAACAGCGATTTTCCTGGAACAGATTATCGTCATCAAGCAGGGCACCACTGTATCTTGAAAGGCTAGAAGCAGATAACTTTCTGCACACAAAAGTTAAAGAACTGACAGAAAGGGAATACATCAAAAGACTGCGGAAAATCTTAAAGTCAAAATTAAATGGTGGAAATACAATCAAAGCCATACACATGGACAATTCCTGTAATTAGATACCCAACTGGAATAATAGAGAGGACCCAAAATGAATTAAAAGAATTGAATTAAAAAAATCCACAGAAACTAATGAGGACCCAAAATGAATTAAAAGAATTGAATCAAAAAAACCAGAAACTAATAAACATGTACTACATCCAAAAACTGATGTGGACAAATTATATTTACTACAAAAAATGGAGGACGTGGGTTACTGCATATACAGCAGACAGTAGTGGAGGAAAAAGAAAGCCTAAATGATTATACTAGTACAAGTAGAGGAAAAAGTACTCAAGGAGAGTGAAATGGAGAATATTTTGAAAACAACAGAAACAAAGGCTCAATATAAGCAACAACAACTGGAAAATAAACAGTTGGAAAAATAAACCACTACATGGACAACACCTGAGAAATACTGATGGAAAGCAGGATAGTAATTCAACATGGGCAAGGCTAAAACTGGGGACCATTAAGAAAGAAATCAGATTTTTACTACATAAGCACTCCAAACCAATGTGATGAAAGATTCAAGGAATTAGTGATAACAGCAAATGTCATTTATGTCAAGAAAAAGATGAAACTGTGTCGCACCTCATCTGTGAATGTCCAAAGATTACACAAACAGATTACAAAATTAGAAGTGACAGAGTGGCAAAATTGGTCATTATGCAAAAAATATAATTTGCCAGCCTCCAAAAACCCATGGAACATCAGGTAGAGAAGGCATCAGAAAATGATGAAGCTCACATAGAAAGATTACTTACTGTAACCATAGTTCTTTGTGTGGTCATCTGTGAATCGACACAACTGGGTTAAGACTGTGCCTGCGCAGGACTCCTCGGAATATTCTAGAGCTTAAAACATGTGATTAATAGTATGTTTCCCCGTGGTGCGCATGCTCCGCCCTCCCGTAATACCTCCGTTCCGAAATGTCCACCGCTGTCAAGGCTTTGACTATAACAAGACTAAAGAACCAAGTGACAGACACCGGGGAGGATCGGCGGGATGTGTGGATTCACAGAGGACCACTCGAAGAACTATGGTTACAGGTAAGTAGCCTTTCTTTCTTCTTTGTGGCCTCTGTGAATGCACACAACTGGGTGACTAGCAAGTTCACTTACTGGGAGGAGGGCCGTCATGTTAACAAAGATGTCAACACAGTCCTTCCAAAATTTGCTTCCTTCTTGGCCCTGAGGTCCAGACGACAGTGCGTCATAAGGGTGGATGATGTGGACCAGGTGGCTGCTCGGAAAATGTCCGAAACATCAACGTCATGCAATAAGGCAGTTGAAGTAGCTGTAGCTCTCATAGAATGTGCCATTAATGCCTCTGGTGGAGATTTACTCGCCAGTTCATAGGACAAGGTGAGAGCAGACATGATCCATCTAGAAATCGTCTGTGAGAAGGCAGGAAAGCCTTTACGTGGGCCATGGAAGCATACAAATAATCTAGAGGAAGTGTGGAAGTCCTTAGTCCTGGACATGTAAAACGTTAAGGCACGACGAACATCCAGGGAATGGAGCATGCACTCAACATCCGAAGAAGGATTAGGGAATAACATCAGAAGAAACAAAAGTTGATTAACGTGAAAACTGGATACAACTTTGGGAAGGAAAGAGATATCAGGATACAAGATTATCTTGTATGGGTCGAATTGTGTATAGGGGGCACTGGCCCGAAGGGCAGCCAATTCACTCGCTCTCCATGCAGAAGTTATTGCTACCAGAAATAGTGTCTTGAAGGAGAGGAGTTGAAGGTCCGAAGAAGCCATAAGCTCAAACGGGGGATGAGTAAGAGCTTGTAACATGACTTGTAGGGATCACTGAAGCAATGGAGGTCGGACAGGTGGGCGAATGTTACGTAAGCCCCTCAAGAACATCTTCAGGGTCGGGTGTGAGAACAAACGGGAAGCTTCTGAACCCGCAGATTGGTAAGAGACAATCGCGGATATATAAACTTTAAGTGTAGAAAGGGCCATGCCCTGATCAAATAGGTAGCACAGAAAGATGAGAAGAGTATTCAACGAAACTGGAAGAGGCAGCAGTCCTCTAGAAGCAGCAAATTTAGAGAAAATATTCAATTTGTAAGACTTGGTGGAAGATTTTCTGGCTTTGTCCAGAACCTCTGCTATGTCGGGAGAATTCTCCAAGCTGTAAGGTGAAGTGATTCTAGATCTGGATGGCAGACGAAACGGGCGTGGAGGTAGTCTGAGGGACTCAGCTGCCATAGTCTTGTGTGGTAAACCAAGACTATGGCATGTAGCTGATGAGCCCTGACCAATGTCTGCTGAATTAGTGGAATGGGATAAAGGAGACAGTCCTGTCATTCTACCATGAAGGTGTCTCCCAGTGAGGCTCTGCCTTTCCCCGCTCGAGAGCAAAACATGTTGCACTTGGTGTTTTACTGGGTTGCGAACATGTTGATGGCCGGCGTTCCCCATCGATTGTAGATCAAAGCAAATATGGAATCGTCGAGCTCCCATTCATGAGTTTGAACATTCAGACAGTTGGCGATGTCATTGTCCTCTGTTGACACATGAATGGTGATTGAAAAACATGGTGGTCTTAACATCATTCCCAAAGATGAGTTGCCAAATACAGAATTGACAGCGAATGGGTGCTTCCTTGCTTGTTGGTGTGATGATTTGTGTTTTTATGTGTATTAGAATGGGATATGTAGTCTTAAGATTGTCCCAATAGCATCCATTTTGATTTAATGTCTGTGTCTGTGGTAGGAAAATTTTACATGCTGTTTCAGAGAAGCTTCGTTCTCTGGTTATCTAGTTGCTAAGAAGAGCCAGAGAGTTACATTCCTGGTAGTCATAATAATTCTGCCACAAAACATGATAACGACTCAAGCTCTCATGAGAAAGTTAGGCGGGACAACAAGACCCAGGAGGGGATGTTCCTT